AGGGAAGGCGGCGGCCCCGAGGCGCTGCCCATGCCAACGGCATCCTCGAAAAAAAAACAGGAGGACCAGCGGGCGAGGCGGGGCCCCCTCGGCAGCGCGCCGCCGCCTCCGCCCACGCTGGCCGCCGAAGCCTCTGGAGGCAGCCTGAGCAAGTGCTGCGTGCAGCGCGGTGCCGCCTGGCATGACGCGCTGCAGGTCCGCGGAATGCAGCGCGGGCCAGAGGAGGAGGTGGCGGCGCAGGAGGGGCACGGAGGCTGCCCAGGAGCTGCTCCCCATGCTGGGACTGGCGGCATGCATCCGAGCCAGGCGCCGTATGGAATCGCGGGTAGTCCCTTTCAGGTTGAAGTGGCTGAAGGAGCATGCGTGAGGCCCCCCCCGCCTCTGGGGAGAGAAGGCCGCCCTCTTGCCGTGGAGGCGCGTGGAGGTGCAGGAGGCGAAGCAGGGCGGCGGTGCAGGCGAGGTGGAGCGCGAGGGCACTTGCGCCAAGGACGCACTCACTGCTGCCTTCGCCACCTGCCTGGATTGCGCAGAGGAGGAGTGGCTGGGCGCGTGCCAGCTGGAGGACCAGAGGGGCAGGTACGTGGGCAGGGCGCAGGGCTTCTCCACCAAGCGGGTGCGACGCAGCGGGGTCCAGGAGCCGCGGGCGCCGAGGCACGCGCCTGAAGCAGCGTGGATGGCGAGAGTGGCCAGCATTTTGGAGGCCGCGGCGAGGGTCCAGGCGCCCCGAGGTCGGATTGATGCGCTCGACTCCGCGCCTAGGCTGGCGGAGCTGGTGCCTCAGAGGGTCAGGCAGTGGCAAGAGCAGGCCGATAGCGAGCAGGAAGGCAACCACGCCAGCACGGAGGCGGGCAGGTGGCTGCGGGTGCTGCAGCATGCAGGGCTTGCGAGTTGGGACCCCGTGGCCCTTTTGACCCTGGCCAGGCTGGCCACCAGCATGCCAAGCGTGACCTCGACGAGCGCGGCAGGCAGTTCGACGAGTGGGTCGACAGGCAGCTGAAGGGAGGAGCAGGAGGGCTGCATGCAGTCACGAGGGTGGCTGTGGGCTGGCAAGGCAGCGACGGTAGCTCCGCGGCAGGCCCCCGCAGCTTCTGCCAGGAGCTGGACGCCCTCGAGCAGGCGTGGGGCAAGCTCTGGAGGGTGCAGCGCGCCCATGAGGATCTGGCGTGGCCAGACGACTTGGGCGTGAGGCCTGGTAGGCCTTCAGTGGAGGATGAAGGCGGTGCTGCGCACGTTCAGGATGGGCACCGCGGCGGGCTTCGAGGCAGTCAAGACGCGGCAGCTCCTGGAGCTGAGCGACGAGGGCCTCGAGACGCTCATCGACGTCGTGATGGCGGTAGAGCAGGCGGCGGAGTGGCCGCAGCTGAACAACAAGATTGTGTTCCTGGCAAAGAGGTTAGGAGGAGTGAGGCCGGTGGCCATCGCACACGTGCTCGCGAGGATTCAGACAAGGCTCTGCAGGCCAGCGGCGGTCGAGTGGGAGCGCAAGAACGATCGGCCCTTCTTCTGGGCGTCCAGAGGGAAGGGTTGTGAGAGGGCGGTCTGGCAGCAGGCGGTGGAGTGCGAGTGGGCCACGGCCAGAGGACGCGAGGCAGGCGACGCCCCCAGCTGGGTCGCCGCGCTGGCGCTCCTGGACTTGCTCAAGGCGTGCGAGCAGGTGCAGCACGGGCACCTCATTCGTGCTGCGAGGAAGACGGGGTTTCCCTTGTGGCAGCTCGAGCTGCAGATCAGCCTGCACATGTCGGCCAGGTGGCTGGCGCGCGACGAGGCGGTCAGCGATGCCATCTACACGGAGCATGCTGTGCTGCCAGGAGATGAGATGGCAACGCTCATGCTCAAGATGTTGCTGCTGGAGCCGCTGGATAGGCTGCAGGAGCTGGTACCCACTGTGGCTCTCTCGGTGGTCGTGGATGACATCTCATCATCAGGGGGGTTGGGGGCCTGCAGCGCGTCGTCGTGGACATCGCGACAGCGGCCAGGCATCTCGAGGTCCTGCTCGGCGAGGTGGACCTGGCGGTCGCGGTCAAGAAGTCCAGGGCGCTCGCCAACTTCCCTGAGGCGAGGCAGGAGCTGGAGAAGAGGCAAGAGTAGGTCGCTGGGGCTGATGCTTCAGCCTGGGCTCGACCCGATCATCGACGCGACCTGCATGCCCGCGATGATGCTGTTGCGGGCGGTATGGGAGAATTGGGTGCCTCCCCACATGGTGGTCCGCTGCCTGCTGGACAAAAGGGCCACCACCTGGGCTCGCGTTCAGGGGCCGTGCGCGGCGACGGCGATGTCGCTGCGGAGGATCGGTTGGGAGGTGGACGCAGCCAACAGCTGGGTCATGGACGACGGCAACACCATCGCGCCGTTCGACGTGGCGCCGTGGGTCGTGCGCAGGCTGGTCATGCGAGGGGTGCAGAGGCGGCAGTGGAGGCAGGTCAGCAAGGACCCAGGGAATGGTCACCTGGCAGCAGGTGGCGAGCTCGAGCCGCTGGTGAGACTGGCCACCACAGGTAGAGTGCTCCACCCTGAGGGTCTGTTGGGAGGAGGTGCTGGCAAGGTCAAGGTGCGGCCCACGCAGCGCGAGATGGCGCACCTGCGGTCCCTGATCGTCAACGGGCAGTGGACGCAGGCACGTAAGGCGGAGAAGGGGCTGGCGAGTAGCGCGGAGTGCCTCAGGTGCGGGTTGGAGGGCGCCCTGATGCACAGGCATTGCGACTGTGCTAGCTGGCGAGAGGTGTTGGCCCTTCCCCCAGACCTGGAGGACCCCAGGGGAAGATGGCAGGAGCCTGGGGTCCAGCTGCTGCTGGAGAGGTGCCTGTGGCCAGTGCCGAGGGGGCTGCGCAAGCCTCAGGCCAGCGACCTGGTCTGCTGGAAGGGCGACCATGATGGAGGTGTTCTGCCAGCTGGTGAGCTCTTCCTGGACGGCTCGGTGTTCGAGGCGGACTACGGCGAGTTCACGTCGGCGGGCTGGATTGCAGTTGCGCTGATGGAGGGAGATGACGTGTACAGGGCGTCGATCGCTGGCCAGATGGTCGGCCCGTGCGTCGACATCAACGGCGGCGAGCTCACGGCGGTGATCATGGCCTTGAGGTACGGTTACGGAGACGCAGTGCTGGTTTGTCGACTCGAAGTACGCGTTCGACGGCTTCTACCAGGTGGGGCGCATGCGCACGACGGCCAGCGGTCATTCCTGGGCGCACCTATGGAGGCAAGCTTGGGCGCTGCTGGATGAACGCGGAGGACTGGGCAGCGAGGTGCACCTGGGGTGGGTGCCCAGCCGCAGCACGAGGCAGCAGGTGGTGGCTGGGAAGGTGTCGCACCGTGACTGGTACGGCAATCGTCTGGCTGACCGCGTGGCCAAGGAAGCGGCCGCTGCGGGACGCCTGCCTGGCCGTGAGTGCCTGCGGCTTGCTCATCGCCGAGGCCTCGTCGACAGGGTCTGGTGCTCGGCAGCGGGCACCTGGATTGACGGCAGCGGCACCACGCATGGCAAGGTGAAGCAGCAGCGGGCTCTTCCCGAGAGGCGCACGGCAGCCGCGCAGGTGGCGTGCACCTGGCGCGGGCAGCCTGGGCAGCCCAGGTGGTGCGAAGCCTGCAGGTGGGAGGAGAGAGTGGGTGAACGCCCGGCTCCATTCTGGCGGACGCGGCGAAGGCCAACAGGAGGCTGAGGCAGCAGGGGGCTCACCGCCCACGACCTGGTGGTCATCCGCCCTACCGTGGACGAGCAGCTGGAGCGCAGGATGCCGCTGGTCGCCTGCCGCCTCTGCGGGGTCGCGGGCGCCGCCAGGGCATGCGGCTTCAGCGGTGAGTGCAAGATGCCGCCGTCCGCTTCGGGCAGCGCTGTGGTGGCCAAGCTGCAGCGGGGGCTCGCGCCCCGCACGGCGAGGGTGGTGCCAGTCGTCATCGCGCGCCTCGATGACCTCAGTGGGGAGCCGCTGGGCGTGGAGGTGGCTGGCGGGCGGGCAGACCAGCCAGCGGCGGTCAACGCCGCGGCTGCAGGAGCGGGCGTGCAGGAGACCACGCCTGCAGAGCCGCCTGCCCGTGGAGGAGGAGGCAGCTCGCAGAGGCTGGCCGCAGCAGGGACTCCAGGAGGCGAGAGCAAGCCGCAGGCGGGCGGCCCAGAGGAGGACGGCGTGGACGTGCTGCTGGCGACCAGGCTGGAGGAGCCGCCTGCTGGCGGGAAGGAAGGAGGTGCGCCCCATCGGCGCGGCAGGCGCGCGTGCAGCGCGGCGCCGTCGCCGCGGCGCGAGGCCAAGGTTGCCAGGCTGCAGGAGGAGTACCAGCCGCCTGCAGGTGGCTCTGCTGCTCGATGCGAAGCAGGGGCTGCGGGCGGCGGAGGCGTGGCCAAGGAGGCCAGGATGCAGCAGGGGTGCCAGTCGCCTGCAGGTGGCCTTGCTGCTCGAAGCGAAGCAGGGGCTGCGGGCGGCGGCGGCGGCTGGCCGAGGCCTAGGCGCCGCGCGCGAGAGCGAAGCTGCTCGCCTGGCATGGCCACCAAGGTGGCGAGGCTGCTGCGGGCGGCACGAGGCGAGGCCGAGGCCTGCCAGACGGCCTCGGGCGCGTGACCGCGCCGAGGCGAGGGCGCGCGCGGGGGCGCGCGCGGGGGTGGTTGTGGATCGACACAGCCGCCTTGCCCCGCGGGCATCCTCCTCTTCCTCCTCCTCCTCCTCCTCCTCCTCCTCCTCCTCCTCCTCCTCCTCCTCCTCCTCCTCCTCCTCCTCCTCCTCCTCCTCCTGAGCCTCCGGGAGCCTTCGTGGGCCTGCTCCTGCGTCGACGCCGGCGACGGCAGGAGGGAGGACGGACGGACAACGACGACGACGACGACGGCCGACGGAAAACGATGATGGACGGCGATGGCAACGACGACGACGAAGTTGACGACGACGAAGTTGACGACGACGGCAAAGTTTCGAAGATCTTGAAAATCCGTCGAAGACGTTCGGAAGCCATCGAGCGTTGACAGCGACGACCGACGGCGTCGGCGGGCGGCCGCCGGGGCCCGCGTGCGAGCCGCAGAGGTCGGCGAGGCCTGGCAGAAGCTCTCCACGTGGGACTCCGTGCAGACGCCTCGCTGGCAGGCCCCCAGCTCACCACCCACCAAACCACCCCAACCCAACCCGAAGGCCCAAATTTATCCTCGATTTCCAGTGGGGGGGGGTCGGGGAACTTTGAAAAAACACATGGTATCCGTACCCCCCCAACCCGAAATTCGGGTCAAATTCGGGTCTTCGGGTTGGGTTGGGGTGGTCTGGTAGGTAGTCCCCAGCTGCCTCCTGCCAGGGCCGGGGTAAAGATGGGGTCAAGTCGGGCCTGTCCTTCTGCACGGGGAAAAGTCAGACATAGTCAGAACTAGTCTGGGGACGATTCTTTGACTGTTTTTGCACGTCTTTCGGAATATTACTTGGGTATTCTTTTTATTTTTCGTCCAATATCCGCCTGCAGGGGGACACGCCAGACCTAAGGGTAACGACCGGGGGGGGTGGAACAGGAGGCATACGGCAGGTTCGCGTCGTGTCGACCCACGGTGACCCCGCCGCCGGCCTTCTACGTTGAACGCCGTTGGCGAAGCAGCATCGGTCGATATTGAACGATCGGGCGTTTCGGAATCGGCCGATCGTTCAAGGCTGAACGATCCCCGCGGTGTGATGAAGCAGCGGCTGGGTCGACACGACACGAACCTGCCGTAGGGTGGGATGCATCGCCCCCCAATCGCCCATTGATCGCCGATGAGAAATCCGACCCCGCTCAAGAATGTGCGGATTCACCATGGGGGCCCATCGCCGATCTATCGGCGATGTATCGCCGATTCCAGGTCGATGTTTCCCCCCCTCTATGCCAGTCCCCACCTTGCCCCTCACAAGGAGGATCGTCGTGGGCTCCCAAACTGTGTGGTGCCACGCCGCGTGGTGAGTCAATGGGGATTCGGGGTCACCACGGGGTTTTTGGAGGAGGAGAAGGAGGAGGAGGAGGAGGAGGATGAGAAAGGGGAGAAGGAAAAGGAGGAGAAGGATGAGGTGGAGGAGGGAGGAGGAGGAGAAAGGAGGGGAAGGAGGAGGAGGCGGAGGA